CAACAGTCATTGGCCTCATTAGAGATGGTGATGAATCAGCATATAGACAGGAGGTTGAACAACTTGCCCTACGGTGCAACAGTAACAATCTGGAGAGTTGAGAGTGGATTTTAGGAAGAGCCCTTCTATTTTACCACCACTTACCACATTCAACAGCACAGTATCGGCAGTAGAGTCCTTTAAATTGTGGGGTTCTATAATCTCCCAGGACTTGAACACTTAACATTAGAACCATTCATTTAAAAGGCACTTTTAAAAAAATGTTCTTCCTGCATCAGTCAGGAAGTTCAGACTGTTCCAGGAACTATTGATACAGTTTTACAGAGGAATTATTAAGCTTGTCATATGTACTTCTATAACTGTTTGGCTTGGTATAGCAACCAAACAGGACAAGAACAGACTCAAAGGGATAGTTAAGACTGCAGAAAGAATCATTGCAACCAACCTGCCTTCCATAGACGACCTGTATATTGTGCGGGTCAGAAGGAGGACTGAAGATATATCTGCAGACCCCTCACATCCTGGGGCATAAACTGTTTCAACTCCCCTCAGGATGACCACAAGGCATCACAGGCCAAAACAATTAGACACAGGGACAGGTGTTTTTTTTTCCCTCAGGCCATCAGTCTGCTGAGCTCCTAATTCTCACAGTGCTATCTAATGTCTATGTGTATTTACCCAAGCTGTATGGCTGTAGCATTATTGTTTATCCTTATTATCCTTCTTACTCCCCTCTCCTATTGGTATTATGATTATGATTATTATTCTGTTGCTTTGCATGTACACAGAGAGCTTCTGTACTGGAGACAAACTACACTCGGCCAAATAAAGTATTCTATTCCTATTCCTTATCCCTATTCTATTCCATTCTACACTGGGGAAGTCTGATCTAAAGGTTCTTGGAATTCCAACCTCTAAACAAAGGATGAGGAATATATGGACTTCCAGTACTATGTTTTTAAAAATCTCTTATGTTGGTTGGAGCTACTAAGTACTGGTTTGGCATTATCTAGTTTCTCACGTGTCTTCAACATTAGAGGTGGTCCTTGCTTACCAACCATCTCATTTAGCAATTATTCAAAGTTATGACAGTATAAATAAAAAACAGCTTTGCTATCAATCCTGGCTTGCAACAAGCAGAAGTATTGAAGAATGCTTTAAAGCAGGGGTGCCAAACTCTTATTTCATTGAGGGCCGCATCCGGGTTGTGTTTGACCTCAGGGGGCTGGGGTGGGCGTGGCCAGCCCGATGTCACTTATGTCGGGGGAGCCTGTGGCGTTCTGAGCACTCTGCCAGCAAAAACGGGCTCCCGAGCTCTGTTTTTGGCTGTGACAGCATCCTGAAACCCTCTGCCAGCAAAAATGGAGCTCGGGAGGGCCACCTGCAGCCCTCAAGAGCTCCATTTTCGCTGGCAGAGACATCACAGGCCAGTCCTTCACTGTTTCCAGGGTGGCCCCATGGGCCAGGTCTAAGCACTTGAGGGCCTTGAGTTTGACACCCCTGCTTTAAAATAAAATCTCAAGCTGCAGTCACAAATGACAAATGATACTAAGTCCCTGTCACAGTCAAGATTTTCCAGTTAGTGACCGCAGCACTTAGTGAGAGAACTGCTGGTCTCGATTCTGGTTGCTAAGAAGAACTTCTTGTATAGGTAAATTCCTGAGGTCAGATGAAAACACCATCCCCTCCAATATCCATAGTTGTTTTTTAACATACAGGGGAATAACAAAGGCAGACTTACACCATGCTCTTTCTCCCACTCTAGCAAAGAAATATTTTCTTACATTTGGTCTATACGTTGCAATATTATCTAAATAGAAAGAGAGGAACATTTGCTAAAATAGCCCCCCAGATCAGTAAGATTACAGGTAGTCCTTGATTTATGAACTGGAACTAGAATTTTGGTCCCTAAGCAATGTGTTCCTTAAGCATGTCATCATGTGACCAGATTTTATCAATTTTACCATAGATGTTAAGTGAATCACACTTTCATTATGCAATCCAGTTTTCCGTACTGACTTTGCTTGCCAAAAGTCAGCTGGGAAGGTTGCAATCCAGGCTCACAAGGCCAAAGGATGCTGCAACCATTGTAAATACAAGTCAATTGTCAAACACCCGAATTGTGATATAACCATGGGGGTGGTACAATGGTCACAACTTCAAGGACAGATGACAAGTCACTTTTTTTCACCAGTGTTGTAACTTCAAACCATCATTGAACAAATGGTCAAAACTTCAGGACTACCTGTATAGCTGCATACTGTGGTTATATTATATAAAATAAAATAAATAAATAAATATTGAACAAATGGTGCTTGGAAAGAGAACTTTGAATTATGCCCCTTGATAGCAACACTACACACTTGCAGTTTCCAACTGAATTAATTCAGACCATTTGGAAGGTAGATCTATGGATAAAGTCTTTCCCCAGGAATAAGAGGCTTGGTACCCTAGTTTATAGCAAAAGTTGCAAAGCTGGCTCTTGAGGAATGGCAAATTCTGGCTTCACATTTGCAAAATGAATGTGAACCTGTTGCCTGTTCACATGCCAAACTTATTTGATACCTCAGCAAAAACCATGCAGAATTGTTAACATAATGCATCTGCTCTGTGATTACTGTAATTAACTTGTCTGTACAATAACCTCAATTAAGACCTTAAGGCCTGAACATGCACTCAAGGATGTACCCATTTGGAAAGGATCTTCTGGTTTTTTTAATTGTGGTTTCCAAATTTTAAAACAAAACATGAAACAAAACAATTTCTTATTCAGTTTGTTTGTTACAGTCACTAATGTTGCAGCATTAGTTCATCAATCCACATATGATCCCTATTGACAATACTGCCAATACAATTAAGGTCATTAATTCATTAGCTGTTTGGCTGGTTACATGTTGGAATCAGATTTTATTTTATTACATCTGGCCTGGTTTAAATTAATAGTTTATGTATAGCATTGTGGTTTTGTTTATTATGCTGCAAATTATGGGCTGTTTTCTTATTATCACCAACTTTGGGAGACTGAAATGTTGAATAATAGCTTGGAAATAATTGTAATAAAACATATCAGTCAATACAGGTATCATTTCTCAAGCAACAGCCATCAACTGTGAAAATTAGGTCAAGGAAGTTTGCCATAATATCATACATATTCTTACAGTTAGGAGAACCACCAGAGAAGGAATGATGGTATATCTTAGCCCTTAATTCTTACCATATTACTTGTTGTTATAGGCATCCTGCTCCACAGACAATCTATAAAGGAGTTTCTGTTTTGCCAAATATGATTTCAGTTCAGCTCTGATAAAGGAGCGTAGCTAGCAAAGCATCAGTCTATATTGTCTCAAAAAACATAACTAAGGACTTAGTTATCCCAGCAGGCCTGGGGACCCCAGGGGATGGGTGAACTCATGAGGGAGCTCCACTGTTATTAACATCCTGCCATCTTTTATTCTTTCCTGCTCAGTTCTGTTTTTATTGTTTTAAATGTTTTTTTAATAATGAATTTAGATAACTGTTTTATATTTCTTTTGTTGGATTGTTGCACATTGCCCATAGTCAGTCTGTGAGATGGGCAGCCATATAAATTTGAATAAAAATAAACCACGGTGTAAAAGAGGTAGATCAACACAACACACTGAGCCAAAGACAAAATACACTAGACAGTGCAATTGCTGTTTGCCTTTTCTAATATTTTAGGTCAAGCTATTCACAAGATATTACTGCAGTCTACCAATGGGGCCGAGAGAAAAAAGACAAACATGGTTATCCCTACAACCTTCTCTAGGCAACCTGGGGAATAAAAAGCGGATTACTATTTGCAGCCACTCCTGTTGGTCTCTTCCCCGTTTTGACAAAGATGCAGTGACATCATCCTCACATGGACTTTCACTGATGAGACAGCTCAAGCAACCAGCTGAGTAGCAGCTGCTTGTGCATGGAGTAAGGTAATTACTCTGCTTATTCTCCTCCAGTGGAAGAGGGCTATTAAGCAGCACAGTTTCTGCTTTTATTCTCTTTATTATCTCACCATCAGTTGCTGGTGGTCAACCCAATCCTTCCTGTTCTGTTACGCAAAGAGAAGAAACTTTACAGAAAGGTTGCAAGGGGAACAGTTGCAGACAAGGGCAACAAGTCCATTGCTCCATCACAACTACTCAGTGAAAGAAGCATAGAAGTAGTAAATGTTTAGGTGAAGGAAGGAGGCGGCAAAGACCCAATTCTCCTTGTACCACACATAGTAAAGTCAAAGTGGGGAGAGGTATGAGCAGCTACTACCTTCACTTGACTTCAGTTTAAAACTAGTGTGTATCAAACATCTTTTTTATCAACCATGCGGTTACATCTCTTCTTGAAGCTATTAGGCAAGGGCTACCCTTGAAAACAGGCGAGATAAGACAAATGAATACAAACAACTACTATTTACGTGACCCTTTAAGTGTCACCAAAACTGGCCTCCTCAAAGGGCCCAGATACAGAGATTGCTTCACCACCCAGTATGTTTACAATACACTCCACAGGTCTATGAGACCAGGGCAAACTTTTGACAGCGAAACCGAGCTCTGCACCAACCAACCCACGACACGTATAACATACTGACGTTTCACAGCACGCATGGCGGCTTTCGCAGGACCCCTAAACCAGTAAAGCCCTGCCAATAAAAAAAGGCCACCGATCTGCACGGAAACTTGCGCTCCCCCCCCCGCCACCCGACAAAGGGGCTGCTGCCACGAGGAGAACAGGAGCTCAGCCAAAGAGCTGATCCAAGAGCAGGATCCCCACCATTTTGGCTCAAGAGAGAAGTAGCTAAACCAACCCACCCACCCCCCGACCCCCCGCTCACAAACACACACACACACACACACACACTTCTGGGTCGCTGGGCGATCCTCGTTTCCCCGAAAGGCAAGGAAAGCGGCCGCGTCTTCCCGTAGTAGTCCAAGCCGGAGGGCCCTGGAGGGGGTTGGGGGAGAAAAAAAAGACGCTCTCGCCACCCTAACCTTGTCGGCGATGCTGCGGGGCAGTTGCAAATCCGGGCTGGGCGTCAGTTCCACGCTGAGCTCCTCGCTGCTGGAGGCGGCCAGCGGGTGCGAGATGTCCTGCAGGGATTTGGGTCCGGACGAAGGTAGCGCCTTGGGAGTCCCCGCCCCGCCATCCCCAGCTACAGACATGGTGGAGGCGGAGCAGGGGCGAGCCGGAGCCGAAGGGGAGCCCTCTCCGCGAGCTTCGCCGCCGCTCAGAGGCCGCTCGGGCTCAGCTAAGGGAGCCGCGGCCTCTGGAAAGCCGCCTCCGCTTTTCCGCCGGAGGAAAAGGCGGAAGGGACGGCGGCTGCTCCGCGGTGGCTTTGCAACGGGAACGCCGTCGCCACCTGCCTCCTCCCGCAAGCAGAGGACTCCCCTCCCTCCCTGCCTTCCCTCCCTCGGCGAGCGAAGTCGCGGAAGATACAACGCGGCGGCGGCGGCGGCGGCACCCGGAGCAATTTCACCCGGGGAGACTCCGCCCTCGGCCGAGAGCGGGCGGCCATAAGCGGAGAGGGAGGGGGGGGAGAATCTGCCGCAGCTGCTTCCTTCGCGCGTTGTCGCCCCCGCGCTCGGCCGCCGATCTGCGCCTCCTTCCCCGACGTTCTTCTGAGGGACCCTTCGCAAACGCGCAAAGCCATGCACGCTTGCGCCGGAGCTGTTTGGAGGCCTTGGGCTCCGGCCTGCAAGACGGCCTTTGCATAATAAACCAGCCCTCCTGGCAAGAACAGCATCTTGGACACAGGGTGCCAGCCTCTCTCCCCATTCCTCCCCCCCTTGCCGTCCAGTTTGTGGACTACCAATCCCATCATTTCCAGACAGCATTGGCGTCTGGGGGTGGTTCAGTCCACCTAAAGCAGGGGTTCCCAGTCTTTCCTATAACCCACACCCCTAGAACCAGGGGTGAAATCCAGCAGGTTCTGACAGATTCTGGAGAACCGGTAGCGGAAATTTTGAATATTTTTAGGAGAATCGGCAAATACCATCTCTGGCTGGCCCCAGAGTGGGGTGGGAATGGAGATTCTGCAGTATCCTTCCCCTGGAGTGGGGTGGGAATGGAGATTTTGCAAGTATCCTTCCCCTGGAGTGAGGTGGGAATGGAGATTTTGCAGTATTCTTCCCCTGGAGTGGGGTGGCAATGGAGATTTTGCAGTATCTTTTCCTTGCCACACCCACCAAGCCATGCCCATGCCCATTAAGCCACACCCACAGAACCGGTAGTAAAAAAATTTGGATTTCACCACTGCCTAGAATGCTTCTGAAATATTCTCGCACCTCTTACAAAAGTAAATAATTACATGCATATAATTATGCATATATACTATAATTTTGAAACTTTTAAACCCGGGTTTTGCACTCTCTGGGATATTGTCTCGCACCCCCAGGGGGTGCAAGCACCTCTGGTTGGAACCCCTGACCTAAAGGATTTAGTCCAGGAGAGGATCCTGGAATTGGGTATGTCTAGTTTAATGAAAGGGACTAGGGGAGACATGATAGGAGTGTTCCAATATCTCAGGGGCTGCTACAATGAGGAGGGGGGTCAACCTATTCTCCAAAGCACCTGAAGGCAGGACAAGAAGCAATGGATGGAAACTAATCAAGGAGAGAAGCAACCTAGAACTAAGAAATTTCCTGATAGAACAATTAATCAGTGGAACAATTTACCTCCAGAAGTTGTAAATGCTCCAACACTGGAAGTTTTAATTGGATAACAATTTGTCTGCAATGGTATAGGGTTTCCTGCCTGAGCAGGGGGTTGGACTAGAAGACCTCCAAGGCAGGGGTGAAATGCTCCCGGTTCCGACTGGATTGCCCAATCCAGTAGCGATGGCGGTGGGTGGTTCAGAGAACCGGTAGGAGAAATCCCTGTCCCCCCCCCATGCCCAGCCGAGCCGCCTGATCATCAGAGGCTTTTTTTTTACTTTTAAAAGCATTTTTTCTACAAGTGCTTTTAAAAGAAAAAAAAAGCCTCTGATGATCAGGCAACTCAGCTGGGATCATCAGAGCCTTTTAAAAGCATTTTTTTACAACCTCTTCAGCTGAATAGGTTGTAGAAAAAATGCTTTTAAAAGAAAAAAAAAGTTGGCCACGCCCATGCAGTCACATTACACCCCCCCCACCAAGCCACGCCCACAGAACCAGTAGTAACAAATTTTACATTTCACCACTGCTCCAAGGCCCCTTCCTACTCTGTTATTCTAATACATCTCATCTACCATAGTTAAAAAAAGGAGATTTGGGTTTAGGGGGAAAACTAGGCAATTTTTCATAGGAAGAATACCCTTTCCCCCATCATGTCACCCTTGGGCTGCCAATTCTAACTAAAACCAGTCCCAAAAAGTTCTTTCTGTTCCATAAAAATCCACATGTGAAACACTTTTGTATGGATGAGTGACCTGCCAGAACATACGGCCTCAAGGAAGAACTCCTGCTGATGATTCATAATTGCCTATAAAATAAGGTTTCCCATTTATAAACTGAATTACCCACATCTGTGTGTTTTTCAGAAAATGTCAGTAACCAAGTAGAAGTTGGCTGAACGCGGAAACTAATCAAGATTGAGTCTGGTTAAAACTGGGTAAGAGACCACCTGAGATTTGCAAGGCTGTTGACTACTCTTGGAAGTCAAAAATGGCTATGAAGAAAGCCGTAACTATTTTCTGAAAATACCAAGGAAGTAGTTTTTTAAAGAAAACCACAATATTTTCCAAGAAAACTGGAAAATATTATATTGCGCAGAAAGAAATATAACATTATACCGCATACAGCAAACCTGGTTGAACATAATTTCTCAGTCCCTCTGGAAATCACCATTAATTTGTCTCCTGAATGGAGCAGAATATCACCTGAACTTACATAAGTTAATTAGTACTTCAAGGGCCTTATTTAATCCTCAAACTGCCCTCTGAAAGAGACAGGGTATTGAGACATCTATGTTAAGGACAGCTGCAACCATACAGTCAAATCTCTGCCTTGTTTTTTTAATATGTGAGAGAGGTCTGTAGGGAAAAAGACCCCAGGGGGATTAATTAAAGCATGTCAGAAAATTTAACCTTACAGATGGCAGCTGTTGTTCTTTAAAAGGGAAGGAAGAGGTCCATTGGTGAGGTCAAATTAACTCTCCTCCAGGTCCATAAGAAGCGGGGAGATAGCATACTATTGAAATATAAAATGAATACTCGACAAATTCATGTATTTGCCCCATCTCTGCTTCAGTGGGGTAGATTAAGGAAAAGGTCTGAAATCCAAGGTAGTGTACATTAAGGATCCCCAACTCCCAGTCCGTGGACCAGCACTGGGCCACGGCATGCCAGAAACAGCTCTGTGCAAACAAGCGAAGCCCCATCTGCGGGATGTAGGCAGCACATGAAACCACACCCTCTCCAGTTCATGGAAAAACCTCTCTCCACAGAACTGGTCCGTGGTGCCCAAAAGATTGGGGGCCGCTGGTGTACATGATCTTGGTTGGCCTCAAAAGTTAAGCTGGTGTCTTGTTATGGGTAGCTTCTTTAATTCAAACAATTTATTCATGTTTTTTGTAGGACTTCTTGAGAGGAAAAAAATGTTGAAACACAATATTCAGCAGTATGCCTTCAAATATCCAAAGAAGAACATAGCAACAGTACAAAATGTTTTTTATTGTTTCAAACTGTTGTATTGTATTGTTCAGTTGCTTTATATTGTTTTAACTGTTTGTAAGCAGCCCAGAGTCATATACAGTATATGAGATGGTTAGCTATATAAATGAAAAGAAATAAAAGGTACCCAAAAAAATAGAATAAAAATCATACACCTTTATTAGAATTACAATTGCTTAAAAGTTGAATTACATCATTATTTAAATAGAGCTCTATTATTTTACATTACATATAAAAGAATAATAAAAACTATTGAAATTCTTTAAATTTAAAACAAAATTATAGTTATGTAGCTATATAGATATGTACTGCTTTCACTGTTTGTTACTTCTTTTAACTAGGTTTAAGCTGCTTTTTTAGACTAATGGTGTGGTCTGTTTTCTTGCGAGCCTTCAGATTCATCTGAATATGATGACACTTCATCCGCAATGTTCACCATAGCATTGAAGGTTGTTATGTCGAGATCCTCTGTTTGTGTACATCTGGTCTGACCTGGACGCTGGTCTCTAGAATTGTAGAATGGTGTGGGGAAATAAGTACAGCCAATTTATCACATGATTTAATGTCATTCATATCATCATAAAACACCTTGCTATGTATCTTACTAGATGACGATTTTAAAAATCACCAGGTATGTGCATGTACGCGCACACTTCTTAGTTGTGCTTACAGCATAGCCCCAAATTGTTAAAAACAGGAAAGTGAGCAAAACCACTTAGGTCCCATTTCTGTATTCCAGTGTATTCTGTATTCCAATCTTGACAACTTTAAGATGAGTGGACTTCAATTCCCAGAATTCTTCAGTCAGCCTTGTAGCTGGGGAGTGGGGAGGGAGAGGAATTCTTGCTGGCTCGAGAATTCTGGAAGTTTATGTTCACTTATCTTAAAGTTGCAAGGTTGAGAAACACTGCTGTATTCAGAGCTTTCTTATGTTTTTTCCTAATCTTTTAAGTTTTATGTTTGTTTATTATTGCAATTTCTGTGCTACTCCAAAAAGACTCCAAAGGGGGGACTAAAAGGTAAAGGTTGCCCTTGCTTATGTTGCTAGTTGTTCCTGATTCTAAGAGGCTGTGCTGATCTCCGTTTCATAGCCAAAGAACCAGCACTGTCTGAAGACATCTCCGTGATCATGTGGCCGGCATGACTAAACACAAAAGGCGCATGGAACGCTGTTACCTTCCCACCAAAGGTGGTCCCTATTTTTCTACTTGCATTTTTTACATGCTTTTGAACTGCTAGGTTGGCAGAAGCTGGGACAAGTAACAGGAGCTCACCCTGTTATGCGGTACTAGGGATTCGAACCACTGAGCCACTTAGCCACTGTCTTAGCCACTGAGCCACCGCATCCCTTGGGGACTACAAGAATATAAAAATAACAAATTCCCCAAACCAATGACAACAGTAAATCTTCCTATCCATCTGTTAACACACTAAGGAAAACCAATAACGGGCCCTGCCAAGCTAAAAGCGTTCCAGAAACCAGGTCTAAGCCACTTTCCAAAATACCAACCTACCAAAATACCAACCTACCTGAGCACTATTCCAAAGAGAGATGTGTAGAAACACAAAGATCACACATTTGTGCCATTTCTACACTTGACCTGGCTCCCAAAGACCTAGATCAAACTTTGTGATACCCCTCAGTTGAGAGCACAGGACCTCAATGCTTAAAACCAGTTACAGGTAGTCCTCAATTTACAACAGTTCATTTAGTGACCGTTCGAAGTTACAACAACACTGAAAAAAGTGACTTATAACTGTTTTTCACACGACCGTTGCAGCATCAAAATTCAGGCACTTGACAACTGACTCATGTTTATGGTGGTTGCAGTGCCCCAGGGTCATGTGATCCCCCTTTGTGACCTTCGACAAGCAATGTGGGAGCCAGATTCACTTAACAACCGTGTTAGTATCTTAATAACTGCAGTGATTCACTTAACAACTGTGTCAAGAAAAATAGTAAAATGGGGCAAAACTCACTTAAGAAATGTCTCATTTAGCAACAGAACTGTTGGGTTCAATTGTGGTCTTAAGTTGAGGACTACCTACTTATACACTGGAGCTCTAGAACTCCTTGTTGCACTGTGGGGCTGCAAGAAAGCCTCTGAGCTGCAGCACAGTGCAAAGTGTCAGCCACCCTAGCTTGGCCCAGTCCAGCTTCCTTCACTGCCTTGCACTCTGCCTAACTCACCTCCGTTGTTCTCTGCTGCTGCTGAGACATGCCTGACCTGACACGACTGTATACAGAGCAGTTGTCAACCCTGAAGCTGACCTGAACGAAGTAATTTTGAGGCTTCAGTGTTGCCACTCTGGAGCTGAGGGATAGGGAGGGGGGAATAGAGATAGCTGGGGTTTTGTAGCCAAAACAAAATACTTTCTCCTGGGAACCAAGGACATTCTCACACCTGATCAGAGAGAGAGGAGGAGTGATGTTACCAGGCAACCAGACGGCGCCTTGATTGACCATATGACTGTTTGGGGAAGGGGGAAAACTTACTTTTAATTAGGTGAAAATCGCAGGAACCTTCAGAGTCAGTTTTCACCAGAATTGTGCCAATATGATATATCAAATAAAGCTATTCTTTGAGGAATCTACCTGCCTCGGAGTTTTGTTTGCTATGGGTGTATTACTTGGAACCCTGGCAGCAGTTCCTGATCATGCCAGGCCGCCTTCCCTAGGCCACTTGTGCCATTCTTAAAATAGTGTGCACTATTCATTCTCCCAAGTAGTGCACTCCGTTCTCGCAATGCTTCAAAAGGCCCTCGGAAAGCTTCAGATCTCCCAAGAATGAGTACGCTATTTGTAGACTGAATGATGACAAGACATTACAGCAAAAAGCTGCAAAGTCAGATGGTCCTCTTCAGAGTCCTAGTCTTTTTACCAGGCTTTCTTTCAAAGTCTTCAATTTGATTTTTATTATCTCATGTTTTCCATTCTTGGTCTCCAAACCATTAACAGACACAAATCAGACATCATTTGCCCTTAAACGATATTTCTCTTTCTACAAATCTGGCAGCTGCTCTGACTTTGCTAATGCATTCCTTCCATTTATCTTATGCCACCCAAGATCAGCATTTGGTTTCTCAACTGATCAACCAACATTTACAACTGCTTCAGTCAAACTGCTCCAAGTCCAGGCAGTCGCAATGAAGAATTAAAAAGTCAACATAAGACTATGCACCATCATCAAGACTCGCCAAGGGGAAATGGTTTTAAGGCCCTTCAGATAGGTAGGGAATAGCTTATCATGTAATTACAGTATGTGGGGCCTACAAAAAGAGCCTGGAATGGCCCTGATTTTTATGTGCCACCTAGCCAGATAAGTTATATGCTGGTGACATATTGGTTAGAATTCAGAATTGCAGGCTAACTCGCTGCTCACTGCCAGCAGTTCGATTCTCACCGGCTCGAGGTTGACTCGGCCTTCCATCCATCCGAGGTTGGTAAAATGAGGACCCAGATTGTTGGGGGCAATATGCTGACTCTATAAATCACTTCGAAAGGGCTGTAAAACACTATGAAGCTGTATAATATGTCTAAGTGTTATTGCTATTGCTATGCTTAAATCTCAGTCAGTTGTTTTTAAGGTCACCTTATTGCTGTTGCCCTGTATTTGTACCTCTAGAAATCTGCTAAATCCTTTCTCCATTTCATGAACAATGGCATATCTGACTCTACAATGATATTTACAATATGTAGAAAGTGCTACACAAAAATGTAGTATTTGGGCGAAAAAATACCCCTTCAGAAGGGATACTTGAGGGGTAAACCTACCTCTTTTCTTTGGTACATTCATAGATTCCAAAGGCAGAACACCCAAGAAGAATTAATGAAGCCAGTAATGTAATAACAGAGATGGGAAGTAGTATCTTTTCCTCAATTCCTTTTTTCCGATGTCCTTGGCCACTTCTTTCAATCTGATCTAGTCTGTCTGAAACTTAAACATAAAGGAGGTTGGGAAAAATGAAAAAAATGTTATTAAATGAGTCAAGTGGACATACTTATGTGTAATTGCATGAAATAATTAACATTCTTTATTTGTACAAAATGTAAACTAATCATAATTACAAAACTAATACTCAAGGCTAGTTTCTTTTCCAAATGCTGATTTCGTGTCTGTAGAAGAGGAGGAGGAGAAGAAGAAAGAATGCAATGTAGAACTAACTACTCAAATACTTATCTTTCTTTGTAGCCTGAAACAGAACAATTCTACTATTTCTTATGTTTTATCTATTATCGTGACTTACAAACCCACTGTGTATATGTACTGTATGTATGTGAGTGCTTGAGTGAAAAAGAAACGGAATAATCTCTCCTATCATATATTGAGTTTGTGTCAGTACACTGCATATGTCTCTTGGTGGGATATAGAAAACTTTGATGGTTTTCAGAATAATTTCTAGATTAGAGATTCTATCTGTGAATGTGTCCAAGTAAAGCTGGGCTTTAATTATGTGAACAGCATACTGGCCCATAATGTGCAAAAACAGACTAGTACTGTTCTTGCTGTTAGCCACATATGCTGCATATGACACAGGTGTGACCAAAACTGAGGTACAGTTGGCTCCAATCCTGCTGCCTTTCTGAAAGGCCTTAAAATTGGTTTTGTGGGTCTGGTGACCACAAATGAAGATGGAGGTGATCAAATGGTTAATTTGACTATGTTGTTGCTGCCATGAGGAGTGGGGAGGATTTATTATGTGATGGATTTGATAAAAAAAAAAAGTAAAGGTCTGGATGGGGAGGAACTAATTTTGATTCTGTCCTGGGAAGATGGGGTGGCTTTGGGTTTAAGCCCCTCCAGAATTTGGTGATATTTCATTTTTGACTCTGGATGGGGTTGCATTTCCCTGACTGAACATGATGTGCAATGTGAGTTTCCTCCTGAACTCATGGCTCTCATTTATGGGCCTTTCTGGACTGAGAAGCCATGCTCACAGACATTCATGCCTCGGTTACAAATTATATTGTGTCAACCAAAATGAAATGTATGTATCCCCAGAAAAGTACAATTTGGAAGTAATTTATAAAGCTGGGTCTCCAGCTTTATAAAATGTGTGAATAAATACATTTTTATTGCTCTCAGAGATACTGTTAGGCATATGGATAGGGTTGTGGAAATTATACTGTGTCCTTCCGATGCCTAAAAAAATCTGTGAATGCCAAGGAATTTGAACGATTCTTAATGCTTCATAAACAGTACTGATTTCTGACTGTTCAGCTCAGATTCCTTAGAATTTGATCTCTTTACTAGCAGTAAATATGGGCTTTACAGATTATATAATCTTTGTGGCAAATAATTATACATGTAGTTAGAGTCACATGACACTGAGTTTTAACTATGCTAAATCATGTTCTTACGTGGTATTGGTTGGAAAAACAAGTTTCGAGGAATATCTTGATCATCCCGCAATCCTGTAAGAAATGTAAATAAGCAATCCAATTAAAATACCCAGAACGATGCATGTTTATTTTCTAAAGAAAGTAAATTACCTTTATTTTGGTTTATTTCTGAGTTGGGCAATGCTTCTGTTCCTTCTAGTCATATTTTTTATTTATATCTATGGGAGAACTCAAAAGGCATACTTGTAAGTCACTAACATCTGTGGGTAAAGCTTACATTTTGGGTCCTTTATATTTTTGGGGCAGGTTTAAAATGCAAAAACTTGTAGAACCTCAATGTACATGTTGTGCATCTTTTTCTTACAATATATATGCACACCCAAACACAATTGGCAACTCTGCCACCAAATTTTGGCTGCACAATTTCAGAGACTCCCAGGCCCATAGACAGAAATTGCCCACCCCTGATGACTCTAAGCATGGCCTACATAAGCTGCAGTAGGTACAGTAGTGTAAAACATTCTTCAGGCATCACCCACATTAAGAGTGTAGCTAATTCAAACAAATCATGAGTAACTTATTGAAAACAAACTCAGATATTAAATCTGCATCTTATTCTGCATGGCAGTTTTTCTCAAATGTTACCCAAATGTTACTGTGAAGTATCTTTGCTCCTCCAAAGAAGGCAGTCGAGGTGGGAAAATACTGGTGGAAACGCTAGTAACAAAAGTTGTCATTAGATCTTTAACAAGCATCACTCATCTTAACAAAATTGTACCTTCTATTGGAAGGTCCATGGGCGGCTCATCTGTATCCACTGTAGGATAATGAGGGCCAAATATATCTAAAATTCAAAACAACAAGGTCAGAACAAAAGGAAGATGCTGCATGTAAGTTAGTTGGAAAGAAAGTTAAGCTACAATGTTTGTAATAGGTTTGGTTGGACTTGGATCAGCTTCATTTCCTTCCTTCCTTCCCTCCCTCCCATAATATTATTCTTCTGCCTTTTTTGAAAGCCAAAGCCTCTTTTATCCCCTGGAAGAGTTAATTAACTGTATTTAAAACTTCACAGTTTTAAGTCCCAGTATAGTAGAATCATTAGGACCACTCATATCCTAGTTTTGTCTAGATAAATGGTAGGTTCTTAGCACATGCACCAGGGACTTTTTATTTCAGACTTGGAAATGAACTTTTATCATAAATGTGAATGATAAACATTTCATCAGCTATACCGCTGTATATAAAGAATTAAATAGAAAAAGATTTTGTGGAAAACCAACAAGAATATCCTTTATTCCGGCTTCTCCATATAGGCTTCCTTAACAGATTCCTATGTCTTTGTAAAACTAAAATCATTGCATGCCCTCTTATCTTTTTTGTTTTGTTTTGTCTTTCTTTAAAGCCCTTGTAAAATAAAGACCAGAAAGCTTGCTGAAAATGTGCCTTGCCTTCCCTATGAAATTTAAGAGAACTGAGACACACACACACACACACACACACACACACACACACACACACACACACACACACTGTATATCTTGGAACTCCTGAAGGAAGATGAAAAGCTCCAGTGACAGAAAATTGACTGCATTTGCATTTAAATCTTTGTTTTTTACTATGATTTCTCACTCTGAATGAAAACTGAAAGCTGTGCATAGCCCCGAAGTGGGAAAACAATTCTGTAGTAATTTTCTGATTTTTTTTTAAAAAGGAAGCAATTTAAACCAGCACCTGCAGGCTGAAATGATATAATCCATTCTGAAAGATCAGGACTTTTTCAGTAGGTCATTATATTCTTCTGCATTAAGTATAGTAACTACTTTTTTATTATTCTTATTGACAGATTCAAGGATCCTAACCTAGCATTTTAATAATATTATATTGCAGAACATCATATCCCTTAGAAAATCTTACCTTCCGAAGGGTTATCTGTGCTTTGTATCTTTTGGGATTGGTCAACACCAAACAAGTTCACTGACACTGCAAGATAACATCGGTTTCTTTAGTAACCTAGTCTACTTATAGTTTATTTATCAACCCATTTGATATTTTAAACTTTACAAACTGATACTCAAAACTTCATAGACAATATTGCAATATTGCAATATTTGTTACACCCTAGATAGTACATTAATTGTATCAGATTTGATAAAATTGTGATTTGACCCTCTTTGTATTTAAAATTCTAATTGTATTTGTCATTTTTTTCAAATATAGCTGCTAACTATATATATGAATGCCAGTTTCCAATTGTTAAATTATCTAAACTTTTCCATTGTTGACAATTAGATTTAGATTTAGTAACTAGAAGTAAAAATGGATCTAATAGCCCCTTAGTAAATCCTACCTTTTAAACTGGGGTACTCGGTTCGCATCCCTAGCGATTGTTCGATTCCAAGTTCATTCACTGCAAAATAATGTATGTTTCTGTAGTAACCTACTCTACTTATAGCTTATGTATCAACCCACTTGATATTTTAAACTTTTTGAACTGATACTCAAACTTTATAGACTTAGCACACTTGCAATATTCAGAAACCGCAATATTTGCTATAAGGAGAGTTTAACATGAAAGCAAGAGAAAACTTGGAGATGGAAGGCTTTACATGCCACTGGTTTCCTTATGGACAGCCAATGTAAAGATTTAAGATGGATAAGAATTATGAATTTGAAAAGGGTAAAATTGAATTTGATTTAGCGCTCTGTACAATATTACTGCTAAGAAGTTACAAACTTTACTGGAAAATGGAAACAGGACAAGTTAAGGACTGCATGATAAAATAGGCAAAATATTTGGGATATATATAACTGGACCAATGGGAGAGTATATGGAAGAAAGGGTTAACACTTATATTGAATTATAATTTTAAAAGGATTTTTTATAAAATGATATATTGTTGGTATATGGCACCAGAAAAATTGTCAAAAATGTGTATAGGAATTTCAAAAATTTGTTGGAAATAGTCAAACTGATGCATATTTTTTCATCTTTGATGGACATGCAACAAAGCTATATATCCTATAAAGCCAGAATTCTTTCATTTGATTATCATTCTGCTTATTAGTTACCAGTCTTCTTGTTCTTATTCACAGACTCAAGGGCATAACTTAATATAATGTAATAAGATTACACTATAGAACAGTGTGTATTAAGTATCAAATTAATAAACACTGGATCAATGCTCATATTAAGCAACCTCACCAGAACTTTCTCTCTAGTGTCAAATTCTAATCTTTTTTTCCCATTGATTTAAAATAGCTCTAGAGCTTTCCAAAAATTAAAAAAACTCATCAGCCATAGGGAATATCTTGATGTCGACAGGAAGGCCATCATTATTTTCAAAAACCATTGTAACTTTGGCATTACATCTACCTACCCTGTTATAATGGTTTTTGTTGTAATGGCTTGTGGATCTGATAGCCCCTTAGTAAATCTTACCCTTTAAAATGGGGTACTCGGTTTGTGTCTCTGGGGGTTGTTTGATGCCAAGCTCATCCACTGCAAGATAACGTATGTTTCTTTAGTATGCCTATAGCTTATTTAATAAAATACAACAAAGAGAAAAATATAAAACAATGGCAAATAGGGGAAAAAAGGGAAAAGAAAAACAAACAAACATAGAGTAACAAGAAAATGTATATATAAGGTCTTCTCATTCTCTCTCTCTCTCTCTCTCTCTCTGTGTGTGTGTGTTTGTATATATATGTACTGTATGTGTTGTGTGTATGTATGAAATTCTACATAACAGTTTCAACAAAAGGTTGTTGACCACATGACATTGTAATACTCCTTGTACTGTATAAACTATGTCTTTTAAACAGCTCAGTCATATATTGAAATAACATCAGGTCCTCAATCAGTTAAAGAATAGGGGGCCAACAGAGGAACAATATTTCTTAGGCCCAGTACCCAACTTCTGGCTTATTTCTTTCCTCTCTAAGAGTTACCTGCAGTTTTTTAAAAAAAAACCAAAACCACAAATATCTCTTCTATTTAGAGAACAAGATTTGAGAAATTGGTCTTTTGCTCTCTGCTACAAGAAGTATTGTATCTCTCCTTCAGGAAGTTGTTGGCTAGAGAAATCTAAGAAAATGAGATTGAAAATGTCAACTTCTGAATCCTGCTAAGGGAAGTCCATCCCAAATAGTAAAAACTATTATTTAAATGGTTGATAGGGAACTTGATGATTAAATGTATCTTTTATGTACACTGAGAGCATATGCACCAAAGACAAATTCCTTGTGTGTCCAATCACACTTGGCCAATAAAGAATTCGATCTATCTAAAAAAACAAATAGGTCATGCAATGAAAGAACAACTGTAGCATCAATCAACTTACAATAATCCCGCAAGATCTTCAAGCTTTGTTTTAGCTTCTGGGTATCCTTAGTTTCCTTTAATGCTGAATTCCTTAATGGAATTGCTAAAGAAAAAAGGAAGGAAGGAAGGAAGGAAAGCGAATTCACCAAAGCTTTACACTAAAAGATAGCTGAGCAAGAACAATGGAAGATATAATCATTTAATGTTTTGTATCATTGTTTTTATGATATTTGTAAGCCACTCAGAGTCACTTGACAATGAGATGGGTGGCATATAAATGTATTAAATAAATACATATAAATGTACTGATTGATGAATAGTCTAGGATTAGAGTATAAATGAATAGCAACACTGGAGGATGCTAAGCCCTGTGCTCAGCTAAACAGTGTGGCAGGTCCAATCCAAGATTCAAATTATGCTTGCTGTAGTTTTGAGTAGTTCTTCTTAGGAAAGTAAGTGGCCATCAATCTTGCTTGGAAGAAGGTTTTTTGTGCATGTGTGAACTCTTTTGTGATCAAGTCCTACTTCAATGAGGCTAAAAAGCCAGGGCTGTCAAACAGCAAAATCATGGAAAAATATAAAATGTCTTCCTGAAATGTATATTTCAAAAATACAAATTTTAGCCATTGTATAGCCATGGCTAAAGTGCTGAACTAGAATAAGGGAAACCTAGTTTGAAATCTGCCCTGAGCCATGGAAGCTTATTCATTTGAGGCCATTAACTTATTCTCAGTTCAACCAACCCAAATATTATTACAGGGGGAAAAATGCAAAATGGAAAACATATACCATTATAAGATTTTTGAGGGAAAATCACATTATAAATCTAGCAAATAAAAATTATTATTTTAGAATAAATTTATATCCTAACGAAGACAGATAGATTTCATAGACCTGTACCTTTAGCAACTGCTCCTAGACATATTAGAAAATATAAAAATATGTGAAATGAGGGATCCATGGTTAATACCAAAAGTACCCAACTTCACAAGAAACTGAGTGAGTTTTACTGTATTTCCCCTCCCCGCCAGCCTTTTGTGTCACTTTCTATGACATCACTATGGTTCCAGAGTCACAATGAACCAGCTGGAGAGGAATGAAAATCTGGTCATTTGTTCACCTAATTTTAAAGATTATTAAATTTTTTGGTTATCAATGGACCTACTTTTAAAACACCAAGTTAACATGGCTTGGCTCCTTAAACGGTGTGTGTAAATACCTAACTACTGGTATGTAATATACAAGATTTAGTTCTGAAAGAGTGATTTGTATCAGCAACATAATCAGAAGATATTTTAAGATTTGTGTTTTCAGTATTCTTATTTGCTTACATTGTCAAAATTGACTACCATAATGATGCCATTGCTACCTCTATTTTGTTTTCTAGCCAAAGATTGATTTATGGGGCTACACAAAATTCTTCCAATTCTTCCAATTTGGTTGGGGATTGTATACATTTTTCTGATACTAGAGCAAGACATAGATTACTATATTTGGTAACTCTAAAACCAACTCAGGATTTCAGGTGGGTCTGAAGATTTAATTACAAAGGCATACTATTTTTTAATTAAACCTGAGAAATAATCCTTTCTCATTTGTCATATTATTATGGTTTGATAACAAATGTTTGATACTCTAAAATAAAAAAATGAAAACTAATAACATTTCCAAGATTTCCAGAACTGAAGAGAGAGAAAAGATGGGGAGAGGGGAACTATTTAAAAGGATGGTAATAAAAACTTAGATAATGTGGGAGGTGACTCCACTGTAATTCGTGGGTCATTATTTGTAATATTTTTAATACCACAAGTAATTTTTCTTTATTATGTGTATTATACTGCCTAGATAACTTGACAGATAAATGCTGGATTTAAAACTTGCTTTTAAAATCTTCCATAGTTTTAATTTTCCCGTTTTTAAATAATATTATTGGACATATTTACATAACTTCAACAACATATTGGAATGAAAACGATTTCAATATTACACTGTGAACTCAAGTGTTAGAATTTGCTGCTCTTGAGGTTCAGAAGAGTTATTGATGCTAACTATGGTAGGCATTTTGGGCAGAAATTTTTATTTGGGTACTTAAGAGAAATTGACATTTTGGAGTAATTCCTATTTAAAAGTGGCTAGTTAATTTTTCTTTTGAACAAAAGGCTGAAATGGAATTATTACTGCAAATATTTAAAGAGGTCATTAAAAATTAAAATACATTGTTAAAATTATTCAAGTTCTATTCCATATGTTCCTCAGATATTGCCAGTTTATTTTACTAAACAACCTGGAGTTCCAACATCACATTAAAATTAAGGAACATCTTGAAGTGTCCAGCATCCCAGTTTGATTATAATGCAAATAATTCTATTTGTAATTTCCCAATCAGAAGGATTAGAAGTTATGCACAATATCTGTAGAAATCTGAAACATAATTTGCATCATATCAAGGGTTTTTACTTTATCTAACGATACCAAAACATTTCTTTCATGTTTTATCAGTATAGGCAGCTGTGAAATCCCCCCCCCCCCGGTTCTATCCAGCTCGCCGAACCGGTAGCGCTGGCGGTGGGAGGCTCTGCCCACCCACCAGGACATCATTACGTCCCGTTTTTTAACCATCTGCGCATGCACAGAGGGTTCTGCGCATGCGCAGAAGAGGCACTCCTGCGGGTAGTATGTGTGTGTTCCCACGCGGGAGCGCACCCAAACTGATAGCAAAGGTAAGTAGATTTCACCGCTGAGTATAGGGTTCTAACATGTTAACTAAAAGTCTAAATATTATCTCATGGTTGACAGCTTTTCAGAAAAAAATTGGGCTGGATGAATTACTGAGAGAGAACCACTTTCTGCAATTTTTTGTAAAAAAAAATATTAAGATATTAACATCTCATGTGTGGCATAGTATACATAGACATGCAAAAATTCAATAATAGCCTATAGTGTGCTAGGCAAAAATGAAAATGCTATCCACATGTATTTATGCATTTATACTCAATGGCCAAGACTCAAAATTTTTCACTTGAAGTATAAAATAATTGTTATACAACACATGAAATTTGGTTAATATTTTGGAAACTGGTCATTTTTATAATAAGCTCAATACTATTCCAATTAAGGTATTTTCCCTGAAAATGGTCAGCTGAAGCCCTTCAAGATTTTAAAGGCAGCTGAAAACATGTTATAATCCACAATGTAACAAGATAGAGAAGATACATACACAAACAATACTCAAATGGCCTATTCTGATTTGTATATTTCCTGATGTAGTTGCTAATTGCAAGAATGCCTTACACCTGCAGAAATAATTGCTTAGAGCTTATTTTCATTACCAAACCTACATCTAGAGTGCATATTAATACACTGCATACAACTCCTAGTTGATGTGATGCAGACAAATATACAGGTACTCAACTTACGACCACAACTGAATGCAAAATTTCTGTTGCTAAGTGAGACATTTGTTAATTGAGTTTTGCCCCATTTTACAATCTTTCTTGCCACAATTGTTAAGTGAATCACTGTACTTGTTAAGTAATTAACACAGTTGTTAAGTCAATCTGGCTTCTCTATTGATTTTGCAAAATGTGATCACATGACTCCAGGACACTGCAGTTATCATAAATACGAGTCAGTTGACAAGTGTCTGGATTTTGATCATGTGACCATGGGGATTGCACAATGGTCGTCAGTGTAACAAACAGTCATAAGTCACTTTTCTCAGTGCCGCTGTAACTTGGAAATGAACTATTGTAAGTCGAGAATTACCTGTATATGTAAGCTAGCCTTAGATCGGAGATGCTAAATGTTGATAAGGATGGGGAAAAAGTGCGCAATGGTTATGCAAAGTGACTACAGTGTACCCAGTGACTGGTACTATGCTTATTAATGAAGGTGTAGACTTAATTATAAATGAAATAACTAATAGGTACACCAAAAAGGAGAAACTGATATTACTTAGGTTGTTGTATATGCATACAAAACTGGGAATTCAAAGGTCTTATGTTACTTTCCAGTGGATTCTGAAATTGCCAGAACCAGAGATGAATTCTGAGGGAAAACTTACAACATTGTAAATAAATGTGATCCAGGAGGAAAAAAAATATCCTGCTATATGGCACAAATGGATGGATGGGAATATGAAAACAGAGCACAGGAAAATGACTGAACCACTCAGTGACTGAAGAATGAGCAAAAACAGTGATATCTGTTTTAAAAAGGATATTTGTTTCCAATATGGTTTGTGCATAAGTCTGTTAGAATGAAATTCTGGCTTCAGATCCAGTCTGGATCATCTAAGAATCACACAGGTCGAGTTGCTTGAAGCAGAGATGAAGGTTATTTCAATAACATAACAGATAATCTCAACAACTGAAGATAGGCTACAAAATAGAGTTAGTTACCTTTATACATTTTCTTTATACCTTTCCTTGTAATCATTGTTCCATTATTACAAATACTTTGTTTTAAGTGAATTATATTAAATGTGAGATTATTATTTTTTCTATGAAGACAGTTCACTTTTGATTAACACATTCGTCATATGCTTCCTGATGACATAAATCTATAGTATACTTGAAAAGGACCGAAATACAATTCTTAGCTCTGCATTTATACACACACCATCCAATATTATCTGGCAATGCTGGCAGAAAACATTTATTCACAAAAAGCATCATGCTTTCTCATAAATATGCTGCTTTGTGTACTTCCATTCTGCTTCCAGAAAGTGAGGAATCTGAGGAACTCATTATGACATCACTCAGTTGTATTCATTGCATTGCCTGTACTATTTCCACCACTTTGTTGATCTGATATAAATAATTATATTTATTTATACATGTAAATGTTTAATTATTTTGTTGACTTGTAGAATTCTGCTCAGAGTCTAATAAAAAAAACAAAAAAACAAAAAACAATCTACTTGTTTTGGCATATGCCATCTTTTGGGAGTACCAAGGGTCATATCTGTATTTTAAAATAAAATTTCAAATGTTAATGTTGACAAGCTGGTGCCGTGTGTTCTCAATTTCAGCAACTTTAAGATGTGTGAATTTCAACTCCTAGAATTCTCCAGTGAGAAATACTGTGTTGGTGGAACCAGAATAATTTATTTTGAATTAAAATTAAAACATTAAAGAATTAATCCAACAACCCATGACTCTCCATATATTTCATATTATCTACATTCGTTCTCATTCGATAACAGTTTTTAAGACTGGAGGTAACATTAGACTTAAAATGCAATAAACAAATGGCTATAACTAAATAACCATCCTGAGATTTCGGGAGATCATATATAGTTCAGATTACAGATAGAACCTCAGATTACACACTTATGCTACAAAACTGTGAGCTAACTTCTCTGGTCTCTTTTTCTTTTTTTGCTAACTCTTAGTGTAAAAGTATTTGTATTTAGACTTAACATGCCCACTTAGTGAGCCATAAAGGTGTGATTCACAGCAACAGTGGTAACCACATAAAAAATTGAAAATCAACATCTCTCCCCAACACTACTCCTAGCTCCCTAAAACAATATCCTTCAGTACCTAAGCAATATCAATCACTGGGCTCCAGCCTCATCCTGCTGCAAAGCCTAGGAGAAAAGCCACCTTTTAGTATCCCATTAGTATCCTATGACTATCACTAAGTGTTGTATCTTATGATTCTTGTTGAATATATTTTATTTTTTTATGTACACCAAGAGTGTATGCACCAAAGACAAATTCCTTGTGTGTCCAGTCACACTTGGCCAATAAAGAATTATGTTCTGCTCTGCTCTGCTCTGCTCTGCTCTGCTCTGTTCTGCTCTGCTCTGCTCTGCTCTGCTCTACTCTGGTGTTCCAAAATATTAGAAAGGCTGGAGTCCATTTTTTTTTGCCCACCATGAAGTATCACCAATTGTTGTGACTAGGGGATGGGTGAATACATTTCCAGAGGTAATTGTCAACCATTGATTGATAACCCTAATCCATTTAGCTGGGGAAAAAAGCCCAAGACAGATGAAATAAGCAAACCTAATTAACTGATGCACAAAACTTATGGATGGCCAAAAACATTTTGGCTAGCACAAAAAGAATAAGGATCCTCCTAAGTCTTGCACTTCTGCAACTCTTATACCAGATGCAACCAAGGTCTCAAATCTAATTATTTCACTATAGCTAGGAAAGTTAACAACTGAATAATTATGGATTTGTTAAACAAGAGCTATGCATTCATTCTTCCTGGGGATATTACTTAAATAATATGCCTCTGCCTTGCCTTCAGCCAATAACCAATTCCAGCCCCACTTGGCTTTTGGGGTTAATCCATGTCATTAATGGGCACAAATGACACTTACTTGCAAAAAAAAAAAAAGAGATAAACCTGAAAACCGAGCAACTCTGAAAGAGGTTCATATTTTTTTAAAAAATGTTTATGCTAACATCTCTGCTTTACAAAGGAAAACTCAAAAGCAAAACTAATAAAAACTTATTCTAATAAAAAACAGCTTTCTGAAATGAAGTCCATATGGACATAGTGCTTATCTTAAAATGAATTTACAATTCTTAAGATGTAATTTTCTTAATATTTGCACAACCTTATTGCACAAGATATTTTTATAAAAAGGAAAGTCGTTCTTTAACAGGTGCTTGTTATAGTTTACAAAAGTAAAATTTCCAACTATTAGGACTGTTAACACAAAACGGGTTACAACCTGAAAAATACAGATAGTCTTCGACTTACAGCAGTTCACTTAGTGATCGTTGAAAGTTACAAAGGCACTGAAAAAAGTGACTTATGACCATTTTTCAGTCACTACCTTTGTAGCATCCCCAATGATCATGTGACCAAAATTCAGGGGCTTGGCAACTGGTTCATGCTCATGACGGTTGCAACCTTTTGACAAGCAAAGTCAATGGGGAAACCAGATTCACCTAACAACCATGTTACTATTTTAACGGCTGCAGTGATTCACTTAACAACGGTGGCAAGAAAGATCGTAAGATGGGGCAAAACTCACTTAGCAGTTGTCTCACTTAGCCACATAAATTTTGGGCTCAATTATAGTAAGGCAAGGACTACCTGTAAGGTTCTGTTTAAAAGATTTCCTGGAGTAACTTTCGTAACTTATGATCTTGGACTCCAGGACACTGCTACCGTCATAAGTACGAAACAGTTGTCAAGTGCCTTAATTTTGGTCACATAATCATGGTAAATAATAATAATGAGGAGAAGGAGAAGGAGAAGGAGAAGGAGAAGGAGAAGAAGAAGAAGAAGAAGAAGAAGAAGAAGAAGAAGAAGAAGAAGGAAGAAGAAGAAGAAGAAGAAGAAGAAAGAAGAAGAAGAAGAAGAAGAAGAAGAAGAAGAAGAAGAAGAAGAAGCAGCAGCTTATTGGTTAAGGATAAATAAGGCTGCCCACAAAAAGTACAGCTTCATCTAGTCCAGGGCTCCATATTCCCTCCTTGCAAAAGTAACAGTTTCTGGTGTCACTGCCGCTTTAAATCCAAACGGAGGGCGGGGCCTGAGAAATTAAGCGGACTATTTTAATCTCTTGGGGCCCCGTCATCCGTTTGGGTTCTTTCCCACCAATCGTGTTGCTGCGTGAAAGGGAGCATAGGAGCCCGTCAAGTTGTTTTTCTCTCGTGGGTAGCCTTTCCCAAATGCCTGATTCATTCGATTTCTTGACGAAGCAAAAAGAAAAATCAGGCAATATGCCGAACAGCCCTGAGTTGAACTCCTGCGCGGAACAGAATGAAAGGACCCCCGCGCCAAATTCAAGTAGAGGAAGCTGAAAAGGCGCTGGAGCGGTTGCGGTCGAGTCGGTTGGAAGGGAAGGCAGCCCTGCCTGGCGGTGAGGACTTCTGCCCTATGGGGGAATCGGAGTCCCCTAAATTATTAGGGGCCCAAATATCCGCAAGGTTTTGGGTTGTTTTTTTTTTGCTTCCCCCCCCACCCCGAAGCATCTTAAACTAATCAAAGAGCACTTTTAGACTGTCAATCAAGGGAGTTTTATGTCGACCTAAATCCGATTGAATTGAACACTTCGGATTCAGATTCTTTATATATATATAGATATAGATATCATATCCAGTAGTAGAAGTAGTTTTTGGACTCTTCAATTGTTGCCTCTTCAATCCAGCATATGCTGGATAGGCAGTTTTGAAAACATCTAAAATGCCTTATTGCAACTTTTGTGTTTTGAACATAGGCATCTTTATTATTGAGCTGGTAGAGATGCAATATTACACACCTATGTTCAGGCAGTCCTCGACTTACAACAGTTCTTTTAGGGACTGTTCAAAATTACAGGGGCACTGAAAAAAGTGACTTATGGTCGTTTTTCACACTTAAGGACCGTTGCAACATCCCCATGGTCATGTGATTAGAATTCAGATGCTTGGCAATGGGTTCATACTTACGACCATTGCAGCATCCTGGGGTCGTGTGATCCCCTTTTTGCGACCTTTTGAGAAGCAAAGTCAATGGGGAAGCCAGATTCACTTAACAACCGTGTTACTAACTTATCAACTGCAGTGATTGACTTAACAACTGCGGCAAGAAAAGTTGTAAAATGGGGCAAAACTCACTTAACAACAGAAATTTTGGCCTCAATTGTGATCGTAAATCAAGGACTACCTGTATATTCCAACTGCATTTACTCATAGACAAGAGTCTGTGTGGGTTGAAACCTAAATACTCCAAGAAATTTGTGGGTTTTGTCTAGCGCAGATAGTTAACTGTTGGGATACAGTTTTTGCCAAATGTTTTTTTGAAAAGATATGCTTATCAACTCCCCATATATATTCTACACGGCTTCAAAGCAAATATTAATTGCTCCTGCATAATATGGGAGATCTAATAATGAAGTCATTGGGACTTAATTTGTGATATTGCTATCAATATCTGTATATGATCCATTTATATAGAAATGATCCATTTCTACTTGTTAAATTACACATTGTTCAGTTGATTGAATAGTAATTGCTTTTCCTACTCCTGGCTGTTGGGTTATATTAAAGGGGCTTTATAAAGCAGGCATATATTTTGAACTGTGGAATAATGGAAGAAATGTTTATTTTATAGGGTGGAGGTGAATTTACTTGGAATCTATAGGGAAATTAGCTGAAATGTACATCAGGTCAATTATTCTTGAAGGTTTTAAGTCTTATGCTCAGAGGACAGAAGTTAATGATTTTGACCCTCTATTCAATGCTATTACCGGCTTAAACGGAAGTGGCAAATCAAATATCCTGGACTCCATCTGTTTTTTATTGGGAATCACCAATCTGTCACAGGTAAGTGTGTATATCTTAGATATTGGCTACCTTTAAAAAATTCTGCTCTTAGCATGTTTAATGTTGACTCTTGGACTAGCTCTAAAGTATATTTTCTTCTTAAAATTCCATATAAATCCTGATAATGTGTTAAACATTTATCTTTATTTGCAAGAGAATGATAATTTAACATGCCAAATTCATTTGATAAAAGTATAAACATTGTGGAAAAATTCTTTTACATTTTGGCTGTGGGCCTTTTCACAAATAATTTTTATAAACAAAATATTTTGAGAAGGACAGACTCCGATAATCTTTTAAAATAAATTTTGCCTATACCATATCCCTTAAAATGGGTTTATCTTGTCTCTTAAGTGAACTGAATTGTAGATTGGAATGATGGGTTGACAATACATGTAAAATGTACAAAAGGTTTATACAGGAGCATAATATTTGTTTTAAATAGAATCAGTAAATTTATTTTGTGATGCAATCCTATAACCCAAGCATCCCTATCTGTTTATCTTACTGGTATCATTTTGTCTTAAAAATTAATTTTAGGTGAGAGCTTCCAACTTGCAAGATCTTGTTTACAAAAATGGGCAGGCTGGAATTACTAAGGCTTCTGTTTCTATCACTTTCGATAATTTTGATAAGAAGCAGAGTCCACTAGGATTTGAGAATCATGACGAGATAACAGTCACAAGACAGGTGAGCTAATGTGATATCTTAAGTCCTTGTGTGA